GGTCTCTGTCCCAGAGTGGAGACAGAGTGGAGTCATTGCCTTGACCAGCATGTCCACTTAACCACCAACACAACTACCTGTGGGCAGCACTCTCTAGGGGCCACATCTTTTAGATTTCTATCACACACCCCACCGCACCCCAAATCATTGTCAACTGGCCTATTCTGACTCGTATTGTCCCTATAGGACAGAGCGGAACTGCCCCATAGGGTTTCTAAAGCCAAAATGTTTTAATTTTAATTTTTTAAGGGAAACATTCATTAAGGTGCTTATGTATATAATTTTATTGGGGGCACTTACAACTCTTATAACAATCCATATATGCAATTGTATCAAGCACATTGGCACCTATGTTACCATCGTCATTTTCAAAGCATTTACTTTCTACTAAGCCCTTGGTGTCAGTTCCATTTTTTCCCCTCCCTCCCCCACCCTCCCCTCCTCGTGAACCCTTGATAAATTACAGATTCTTATTTTCATGTCTGACACCGTCCGCCGTCTCCCTTCACCCACGTTTCTGTTTGTCCCCCCACTATTATGACCCCCATGTCTATCTTACCAGTCCGGCTACACCAGAGCATGTACAGATAAGAGGTCTTGACACACAGAACCCAGGAGAGATAAACCCCTCAGGAACAGTAATGAGAGAATGGGGCTTCCACCAGTCTTTAAAAAACTGTTAAGCCTAGCCTTTTTTTCTTTTTTTTACTTTGAAGAACTGAAAACCCTTAAGGAATACAGACTTAGTGGCTCTACTGAGGGTGGGGGAAGTTCCTGAGATTATATACAGCTGTTCCTCCGTCCAACCTTGGATCTAAACTGTCCCCTGAAGTCAACGCTAAACTACGCAACAGTTTAGTTCACAAAGTAATATATATGTATAGCCTTTTAAAAAATTATATACTTTTACATAAGATATACAATTATGTAGAATATTAAGAAATATGTCACTATACAAAAATTTGTCTCGAAAGAAGTACAACCAAAATGCTCTTTAGAGGCAAGGCTGGGGAGACTTCCTCTCCTGTATTTTGGACATACTGTCAGGAGAAACCATTCCCTTAGGGGGCTGGCGGGCATCGTGCTCGCTCAAGCTGTGGGGCAGCCACAAAGAGGAATCCAGACCCTCGACAAGATGGATTCCCACAGAGGCTGCATTGATGGGGTCCAAACACAGTTGTGTGTGTGTGTGTGTGTGTGTGTGTTTCTGTTGAACATGGGTTGCTGTGAGCCAGAACCAACTTGAGGTAGGCTAGTGGTGATGCACTGGGCTGCTAGCCACAGGGTCAGCAGTTTGACTCCACCAGGCAGCCTCAGGAGAAAGATGAGGCTTTCTGCTCCCATAAAGAGTGACAGCAGGTCTACCTTGTCCTATAAGGTCACTATGAGTCAGACTCGACATGATGGCAGTGAGTGGAGTTATACATTTAAATGTATTTACACACACATTTGGATATATATATATGTATATATATATATCACACATTTGTGTGTGAGTCCTGATGGAGAACAGATATTTTAAAATTCAGATGAGTTTCATTAAGTGATATGTATATATACATATATATGTATATATGTGTGTATACATATGTATGTGTGTGTATATATATACATAACCAAACGGATAACATCTATTGTAAAGCCTAGATGAGGTCGGAGGAGGGGAGGGAGTTTACGTCGGTTGAAGTGGAACTAGAACAGAAATATCTCAGATGTGGACACCGTGTGAAGATCGTAAACCAATGTCGATGATCACCACGTCTGGAAACTGACATGGGAGTGGGTTTTGCTGTGTTTATTTTCACCACCAATAAAATAGCTTAAAAAGGGGGGAGGGGGTATGTACTGACTTCTTGAGCAAATGCACCCATTTCAAGCTTCCAACCACATCTCCCAGGCTGTCTTCCTGTGTGCCTTGGAGGATGCTGGGGACCTATAGGTGGAGAGCGGGTCCCTGTCCCCTGGCCGCTCCCAGTCAGTGCAACAGGCAGTCTGTTCTAAAGGACCATCTATGACACAGTGGAGGTGATAGGAGGTGGAGGGAAAGCCAAGGCCCAGGGGCAATCCTGGAAGACTCCCCAGAGGAGGTGATGCCTGTAGAAAAGGCCTGAAGGACAAGGAGGAGTTTGCCCAAGTGAAAGAGGGTGACAGGGAGAAAGGATTTCCTGCAGACTACCTGGCAGACTGCAAGGAACTTCCCAGGATGCCCCGAGGCTGCGGATCGCTTCTTGCGGTGCTAGTTTATGAATTAGATCTGAGATGGCCTGTTTCATGCCCGTCCTCGCCGTACATGAGCAAGCTCTTAGGCACCACCATCAAAGTGCTTGGGGCCCATTAGCTTTCCATCAGGCAATGCAGAAGCTGGCAACCGATAGACAGCTGAGTGCTGTTGACTCCAGAGCAAGCAGTCAAATCAAACAGAGGAATGGCATTTGGGTGGCCAATGAAATGGGACAACTGCAATGGCGCCCCACTTTCCCCTGGGGCCCATACAAAGTCATCTGCATTATGGGCCCCCTGACTAGCCTGGAAGATGGCGCTGACTAGAGCGCACCCTGGCAGAGTTCCGATGAGTGTCTGGCTGAGCAATGCAAGGTCAGTGGTTCGAGCCCACCGGGCGCCCCTCTATGGAACAAGATGCTCAGAAGCACTATGGGGCAGGGCGACTTGGTCCTACCAGGTCACTATAACCCTGAGTGGACTTGGGAAGGGCCTGAGAGGAATCGAGGGCAGAAACACAGTGGGGTTGAGTAGATTCTGACCCCACTGGACAGACGCGAACTGTCCCCCCTAGGGTTTCCTAGGCAGTGATTTCTAAGGTGTTGACCGCCATGTCTTTCTCCCATGGGGAAGCTAGGTGGGTCCCAATCTCCAACCACCCAGTAAGTAGCCTGAGGCCTAACCATTCCACCAGCAGGGCTCCTTGTGCTCAGAGTAACATCTGTCACACACAAGCTAAACCAACCCCCTGCCATCTGGTCTGTGCCGACTCACATGGGGGTAGTGTGGCACTGCCCCTTTGGGTTTCCAAGACTGTAAAATTCACACGCAAGCAGATGGCCTCATCACGCTCTCCTGGAGGGACTGGAGGTTTTGAACCGCCGACTTGGAGCTAAGCAGTCGCCCGCTATGACACTAGGGCTTCTGTCTGGCATACTGTCGGTGCTGATGGTATTCGCTGGGAGATGGAGACCCCATAGCCATTCCCACCCCGCCACACCCCAATTTTGGGAAGGTCCTGTGGCACAGAGGAAGCTCATGTGTGTACAGTTCCCTTGGGGGCCCTGTATCAAGCCTAAACCAATGGTCCCCAAGCCTCAGCACTCGGCAGAATCACCGGGCACACAAAGACGACAGCTGCCAGCTTAGTCCCAGAGATTCTGATTCTTTTCAAATCATTCCACCTTGAGGAGGAGAGTGGGAGGGTACACCCAGGAATATATATAGATGCGACAGGAGCTATTATTATGCATGCGTATTCACTTTTGCTGCGAGTGTTTCAGCGAATGTGGTGGAGTCAGAGAGTGGACAAAGTTATCCGAACTTCTCAGGTCTAGCAGAACTCCACGAGGGAATGCGTTGCTCAGGGCCCGGGGGTTCAGAACCGTAAGGACCATAGTCTCCGGGTCATCAAGGTCAATGGCATCCTTCACTAGGACGGTGTTGTACATTCTACTTTGATGAGTAGCACCTGGTCTGGGGGCGGCGCGGTCTCCAAAGCTCAGGAGTGACCGTCAAAGGTGCAGCTATCGGTGTTTCCCCATCTGGAGGAAAGAAGTATGATGAAAACCCAAAGCCGCAGGTCAATCGTCAGACCAGGGAAATAATAGACCACATCAGCATCAGGGCCCACCAGGCGGATACCAGAAGAACTAGATGGTGCCCGGCTACCACTACCAAAGGCTCTGAATAGGATTACATTAGAAGGTCTAACGCAGAGTGGGGGGAAACGGTGGAGCAGAATTCAAAATCAGAGAGAAGAGCGGGCTGACTGGTCAGCTAGAGGCTAGTGGGGACCCCCACCCACACAGACTACATGGCTGTGAGTGAACCCTTCAGGTGTGGGCCTGGACTAATCCCTGTGTTAGAATCATCAACCGTTGAAGATCAAAAGGGCAGCACTGATCTGAGGACAAAGTTCAGAGGGTTAGGAGAGAAGTGGGCTTGGAAACAAGAGACACTGGAAGTGAGGTGCATGATGGGACATTAAGAGGGTCTTTTCGGGTGAGCGGCGTCAGACCTGCTTAGGCATCGAATGTCGAATGTATGAGCTATCATCCGCCATGCACACCTTCACCTAATTCACCACTCACACGTTTAGAAGTCAAAAAATACAGTAAAAGTAAAGCCATGGGGGCTGAGGATCACCAGCCACAGGGACGATGATGATTGTAACTGATTCCTGTAAGTGATTTAGGCGTGGGAATGCTGCCCCCCTAGGATGTGAGATGAGGTCCCTGTGGGTGCTGTAGCTTGTGAGGCGGAGCCTTCTAGAGGTGGGGCCTGCAAGGGTGGCAACCATCTTGTGACTATGAGGTAAGCAAGCCGACGTGCCTAAGGTGACAGATGGATTCTGGATTAGAAACAGGAA